GCGTACAAATTAAATGCACCTCTGACAGCACACCTTGGAAGACTGGAAGGCCACTCTCTGAAGGACTGCAATTGATTGAATACCAACATTGCCTCATCATGACAACATCCTAGCTTGCTTACGAGGACAGGGAGTCGATTTTTCCACTACTCTGGTAGCAGTACGCTGAGGTAAGGTCACAAATCAGGATCCCTCTCTTACTGTATACCACTAGTGCTCCAATTGCTCTATAAATGTAGTCCTCACGCCATCATTCATTAACATGTAAACAATTAAGTAATACGCACACCAGGGTCATTACCACAACGACTTCAATTAAAACCACAGTAAGGGAAAGAAAAGAAATACAACATCCCATTTCATCTTTTAAAAAAAGAGGGAAAACTAGACCCTTTCCCTCTATGTAAAGGGAACCAGCGCGGCTCGACGGTATATTGTCTTTCAAATGTACCCAAAGCTGAAAAAACAGGAGATGTTGACCTTGGAGACGTGGAGAGTGGTGGAATCACAGGTGTACTATTACGTCAAGACGACACGCCTCAAGCGAAGGAAGTACACGCACCGGTCAGTGAGTATTACAGTCATGCGCTAACACACAATGTTTATTTTAAACCCTGGATTAAATACCAAGACAGGTGAATAACCCTCCTGGAGCTAGGCCTCACCATGTTTGCAGTAGAACCGCAGGTGAACCAATGTCTAAATTGGAGTGCTCTGCAGTACCTCATGTCAAACTCAATCCCACAACCTGTAAGGAGATTGGTTGACCAACCGACCTTTACTCACAATGACAGGCCACTGCCCTGTATCTGTCATAGGTAGCATAGCAACCAGTCAGAGAGCGTTCAGTTATTTTTAGACTGAAAGGGGAGAAAAGCAAAACCTGGTACCAGCCATTTTGGTTGTTACAGACGGTGAAAGGTGGCAGGCTGCCTACCATTCAGTCTCTGGGTGATTATGACAATGTTTCAAAATGGGGCGACTGGGGATTTTCAGCTGACAAAAAAGTGAAAAGCGTAATTCATGGCTACTCCTGCGGTCAGCAGTGCCAAGAAAGACAAGCGGGGAGAAGGTCAACACAGTTAGGCAAAGCAGCGCAGAGGGGGAGTGTCCCCCTCACTCCCTCCATCCATATCTCCCTTATTGTTGCATGCAATGATGAATGGCTCTGGGAGTCAGAATGGGAGCCCCTCGGTAAGCAACGGTTTGGACCACAGGGTTGGATATAGCATTAGTGCACTCCTGAGCTCTCACACAATACATACTCACTCTTACCTCCTGATTTGTCTCCATGGCCTATAAACCTGATTACCATCAGAACCAGAAGTGAGCAGGAAGGTACCTTAAAAACACTGAATGAAAACACATTTATTTTGTTTTGCTTGACACATCCTTATTCCACTGGCCTCTCAAACAGGTAGATAAGTATTCTGGGACCAAAAACACTTGGATCACCACTTATCATAATAATACACACATGCAACAATGTGGATCAAATTCTGCTGTGTGAGAAGGACGCGCCAAATGTGACGCCTCTCAAAAAGTATGGTAGAAAGAATGCTTTTCTTCACACTCACTCTCTTTCCAAATGTCTTTGCTCAGGTTTCCAAGACCTCCCGGTGAATGGGAATCAGGTGCAGGATCGTGTGAGGTCAAACTTTTTTTTTTTCTCTCAAGAAAGACATGAGGCGAATTGCCCAAAATTCAACCTACTGCCGGACGCAATTGGGAAGTGATTGAACCTGAAACCCATTTTCATATTAGTGTAACGACCATTATGGAAACAGGAAGCTAATTAGCCAATGGCGATGCGAGTTGGTCCAACTTGCCAAAGCTTGGTTGCACTGCAGTGCACGAGCTGGAAATGGAAAAGTTTATCTGACATCCATTGAAATCTTTTCTCTGTAGTTTTCGGCAACCTATCATTGATTTATTTGACAACTTCCCAGAAAGTTCACCTTACACCATTACACCAGCTGTTGTCACATCATCAACAGAGCACATTGTTTACTTCATGCTGAAGGTGCAACACCCGCCCCATTCCTTTCTCGTTCTGAACTCCTAACAGGAATGGGGCGGGTGTGGCGTCGTGACAACGATCGCAAGAGCTGCTGCTGACTGATTTGAAGCTCCAACAGACGTTACTGGTTTTTAATGCTTGATCTGATTGAATCTAGGATTAGAGAGGTCATACAGAGAACAGGGTCAGTTGACCTACTCTGTCTTGGTAAAGATCTACTAATTATCTTTTCATCTCCATGGATACATTTGCTTCTTGTTTTTGATCAGTAACACGTGGGCCGTCTGGATGATGACGACTGAAGTTCCCTTCAGTGTCCCCCCTGGTCCCCAACGAGCTACAATCACACACAAACACACACACACACACACACACACACACAGACACAGCATATGTTTGGGCTCGTAACAAGAAACCTGACGGAAACGTGAAGTGCTGAAACCCGAGCCACCTGAGTCCGTCGGAGGGCCGGTTGACGTATCGCTTTGGTCGCATCGGTCATGGGGACGCGAGGAAACGGACGGACGTTTGCCCTGGGACGTCTTAGCAACGAGTGTTAACATCCAGAGTGGAGACAGGCCTATCACTATTCTGCAGCCTCCACGCCCCAACATCGGCATCCATTAATCACAGCCAAGCCTTTGCCAGCGCTAGGGACACACCGGGACTAGAGTTGTCATCCAGGCCATACATTATGTCAGTTAAAGCTGTTTTTTATTAACAGCATGACTGATTGCTTTTTAATTGTTTTATTTTCTCTTTATTATTTCTGCTCATGTGGGAAAAGATTGGATGGATCGTGGGAATCGCTGGATTTAAAGGCCGTTGCAAAGGTCAGAATGGAGACCTTGGAGAAGAGAGAAGTGAGCTGCCTTTTATTGCCGTTAATTTGTTTTAATTGAAAATAGATTGTTAATATATATTTTTTTATTCAGGGGGATATCACAGCCAGGTTCCAATGAAGTGTTCCAATGACATTTGGACTTGGACGGGTCTCAGTTGAACATCTGACCCGTATCTCTACTTTAAATAAATAAACCGAATCAGGGTTTTGGACACTCTCCTCCAAGGTAGACGTAGTGATCTGCTGTCAACAGTGATTTGCACTCTGGCAACGGTGTTTGTGTGAAGGTTTGGATAAAGTGTGACCTTTGGCTTAATAATAATAATAATAATAATAATAACAATGTGCCATTTAGCAGACGCTTTTATCCAAAGCATACATTTTATTTATTTTTTGTTTGTTTTTTGGCTTAACCCCAGTAGACAAACTGTGCCACTCCTTACTTGTCTTTTTAAGAAAATACGTTTTTAGATCTATCCCAAGATCTAAATTGAAAGGAAGGAGAGAGTACAACTCACTGTAACCCAATTGTTTTTAACAGCCAGATCACATAAATTATTTTTACGAAATCTTTCCAAAACGATTTAGAGAAAATAATCATTAAATAGAACGAGAGATGATGGGGAGTATCAGTATGATATATTTCATTCTCTCAGTCAGTGGTTGTGTATTTTGAAATCACTAAGTCCAACTTAGACGATGCATATCCAAATCTATCTGTAATATGCCTATAAATGACCTTTATAGGGCTTCAGTAGGTGATGCTTCAACGACATGAGGGAATGCTTAAAAATGAGAAAAAAGCCCTGACTTCTAATTCTTTCTTACTTTTTAAGAGCGCTCTGTTTGAAACAACAAACACTACTGCATTCTATTGCCGTGGGTCAGTGCTGAGAACGGCCCTACTCCATGGGTCCAATTCAAGCAATGATTTTTCATCTGCGGGCTCAGTCGCAAGTAAAATAAACGGCAAGTGCTCGCCCGATCGTATGGATGGTGTTATACCAGGAAAGCAAATCAAGACGTGCTGACAGAAAACTGCCTCCATTTTCATGTAAGTGATCCCCAGGTGATGGGACGCCATGACATCATAACTCTTATGGGCCCCGAGATAAAGTGTAGCCAGCCTACTGCAGTTTGAGTGCCAGGCACAGTGTGTGTGTGTATGAACCATGAAGACACAGAGAGAAAGAGAGATACTGTGTTGAGAAGAAAGAAAATCCTCTCACATTAAAACAGACATTTACTAGACGGTATAAGCTTACTATTAACGTATTGCTGCCGGGTTAGATCCAATTTTGAAAGGACACCACATCAGGAGACCCCGTCCACCTCAGGAATGTCTCCAGTACCAAGGGGGGAAGTGATAGTGTGAGTGACTGCAGACCTGGGAACATGCTGTACTTGGCCACAGAGGACCTCTAAAGTGTTTGGTTTATTTTCTTAAGAACTTGGACAGTGAAGAAAAAAGAGGCGGTGGGAATTGTTTAATTAAAGGAAAACTGAAAGAGTGTGGTGAGAGAGGAAAGTGTCTGGGCTGGAGTGTAAGGCTACAGATGCCTTCTACAGAGAGGGCTAGGGAGAACTGCAGTTGGAGCGAATGGAACGGCATGTGTTTGACGTATTTGATACCATTCCACTGTTTCCGCTCCAGCCATTACCACGAGCCTCTCCTCCCCAATTAAGGTGGCACCAACCCCCTGTGTGTTAAGGGGATACCGGTTCATTTTCTCCGATTATTTTTTTACATTCATTGACTGACCAAGAAAATGTGGTTCTAATCACGCGGAGCAAACTATTTAGATAAACTCAAACCAAACCACACATTGTTATAGTATTTTATGTTAACATTGGCATTTGTTTTATATGTTAACATAATGTTAACATTGGCCTGGCAAGTTGGTATAATTAAGTTATTATATGATAATAAAACATATTTTTCAATAACATATTTTTATTCATTTTAAACTTTTTTTTCTCAATATTTCACATTCTGTTATACAGTGTTTTTTCTTTTCTTAAAAGTATTTGCATGCTATCCAATTCATTGCACTCCCGTCACCTCAGTGAATTGAATAGCTCTAGGGCACCGTGCTTGGCTTTTCCCTTGCAGCAACAAGTGTCACTTGTTGCAGTATGAGTGAAATTAGCGACGACAAGAATCTAGAGATAGAGCCGGCTTATGACACTGACAGGGTGAAACAGTGGACAGTGGAAAAAGCCTTCTTTGGACGCTTTAAAAACAACCAAAAAGCCTCAACCAGTGAGTAGTTTATTTGTGTTCACATCGCAGTATGAGGCAGTCAAACTAGGTCATTCAAAACAACAAGTGACATTTTAACTCCTTTGCTTGTATCCTAGTATTCATCAAATAAAATACAAATTGTGTCACCTGCAGCCTGAACCGAGTCATGCGGTCACCGTTGCAGTTTCATCCTGTACATTTTTTAATATGGTAAAGGAAAGGGAACTGAATGAGGACGAAGGACTAGAGATGTTGAGCACCAGCACCTCCATGAAGACCAGTCCCTAATGCCTGGAGTGGCAATTCCTTTTGTGAAGGTACCGGTCTGTCTTTCATCTGTGATTTTTTAAATAATGGCTACCATGTACAATACAGTCACTTGAACTGTAAATGTGTGGTGTTTAAGTTGTTTGCATAACAAAATGGTATTAGGAAAATACATGTAAACAGGTCTGGTTTGTCAGGTTCATCAATAATTCTAGACATTGTCACTTGTTTTATTTTTGGGATGCAACGTTACAGAATGACACACATAGAAATTGAGTCCATAGAACGTATACAGTTCTCCATAGTTCTCTGTATGGGCCATTTCTAGCTGGATATTCTGTGAGGTTGTGATTACTGAAGGCTGACGTGTTGTTAACACATTGCCCTGATGTTGTTTTGTGTAAACACAGTGCCCTGATGTTGTTTTGTGTAAACACATTGCCCTGATGTGTTTTGTGTAAACACAGTGCCCTGATGTGTTTTGTGTAAACACAGTGCCCTGATGTGTTTTGTGTAAACACTGTGCCCTGATGTTGTTTTGTGTAAACACTGTGCCCTGATGTGTTTTGTGTAAACACATTGCCCTGATGTGTTTTGTGTAAACACAGTGCCCTGATGTGTTTTGTGTAAACACAGTGCCCTGATGTGTTTTGTGTAAACACTGTGCCCTGATGTTGTTTTGTGTAAACACTGTGCCCTGATGTGTTTTGTGTAAACACATTGCCCTGATGTGTTTTGTGTAAACACAGTGCCCTGATGTGTTTTGTGTAAACACATTGCCCTGATGTGTTTTGTGTAAACACAGTGCCCTGATGTGTTTTGTGTAAACACAGTGCCCTGATGTTGTTTTGTGTAAACACATTGCCCTGATGTGTTTTGTGTAAACACAGTGCCCTGATGTTGTTTTGTGTAAACACATTGCCCTGATGTGTTTTGTGTAAACACAGTGCCCTGATGTGTTTTGTGTAAACACAGTGCCCTGATGTGTTTTGTGTAAACACATTGCCCTGATGTGTTTTGTGTAAACACAGTGCCCTGATGTTGTTTTGTGTAAACACATTGCCCTGATGTGTTTTGTGTAAACACAGTGCCCTAATGTGTTTTGTGTAAACACAGTGCCCTAATGTGTTTTGTGTATACGATAAGTGTTGTGAAGCAATTGGGGCATGTCAGTGGTCCTAATGGGGGGGGTCTTGCTTCAGTCAATCGTAATCAGAATTCCCTAATTTACAGTATATTCACATGTGATTCATCACTCCAGAGAACGCGTTTCCACTCCTCCAGAGTCCAATGGCGCGAGCTTTTCACCACTCCAGCCGACACTTGGCATTGCGCATGGTGATCTTAGGCTTGTGAGCGGCTGCTTGGCCATGGAAACCCATTTCATGAAGCTTCCGACTAACAGAAATTTGACGAACTGACTTGTTGGGAAAGTGGCATCCTATGACAATGCCCCGTTGAAAGTCACTGAGCTGTTAAAAACTATCGGCGTATTTCGAATGTCCCATTCCTCTCAAACATTTTAGAAAAAGCTGTTGCTCAGCAACTCTCTGCCTTTCTGAAGACAAATAATGTATCCGAAATGCTCCAGTCTGGTTTTAGACCCCATCAAATAAAATAAAATAAAATGTTATTTGTCACATGCGCCGAATACAACAGGTGTAGACCTTACAGTGAAATGCTTACTTACAAGCCCTTAACCAACAATGCAGTTTTAAGAAAAATAAGTGTTAAGCCTGTACTAAGACTGCACTCGTGAAGGTGGTAAATTACCTTTTAATAGGGTCAGACCAAGGCTCTGTGTCTGTCCTCGTGCTCCTAGACCTTAGCGCTGCTTTCCACCAATCACCACATTATTTTGAAGAGATTGGAAACAATAATTGGTATATGTGGACAAGTTCTTGCCTGGTTTAGATCTTATCTGTCGGAAAGATATCAGTTAGTCTCTGTGGATGGTTTGTCCTCTGACAAATCAATGGTACGTTTTGGTGTTCCTCAAGGTTCCGTTTTAGGACCACTATTGTTTTCACTATATATGCTACCTCTTGGTGATGTCATTTGGAAACACAATGTCAACTTTCACTGCTATGCAGATGACACACAGCTGTTTATTTCGATGAAACATGGTGAAACCCCAAAATTGCCTTCCCTGGAAGCCTGTGTTTCAGACACAAGGAAGTGGATGGCGGAAAATGTTTTACTTTTAAAATCGGACAAAACAGAGATGCTAGTTCTAGTTCCCAAGAAGCAAAGAGATCTGCTGTCGGATCTGACAATGAATCTCAATGGTTGTACAGTCGTCTCAAGTAAAACTGTGAAGGACCTCGGTGTTACTCTGGACTCTGATCTCTCTTTTGACGAACATAATAAGAAGCAGCTTTCTTCCATCTTCGGAATATTGCAAAGTGGGTGGGGTTATATCCTGCCTGGTTGGCCCTTTCCGGGGGTAACTTTGGATGGGGCCACATTGTCCCCCGACCCCCCGTCTCAGTCTCTAGTATCTATGCTGCAATAGTCTATGTGCCGGGGGGCTAGGGTCAGCCTGTACCTATCGAGTGTAATTCTCCTGTCTTATCTGGTGTCCTGTGTGATCTTAGGTTTGCTCTCCATCTCTCTTTCTGTCTTCCCTCCCGGAGGACCTGAGCCCTAGGACCATGTCTTAGGACTACCTGGCTGACGACTTCTGGCTTTCTCCGTCCCCAGTCCACCTGGTCATGCTGCTGATCCAGTTTCTGCTGCTCTGCCCTGACCTGTTCACCGGTCATACTACCTTGTCCCGGACCTACTGTTTCGACCCCTTCTCTCTACTGCACCTGCTGTCTCGACCTCTGAATGATCGGGTATGAAAAGCCAACTGACATTTACTCCTGAGGTGCTGACCTGTTGCGCCCTCTATAACCACTGTGCTTTTTATTTGACCCTGCTGGTCATCTATGAACATTTGAACATCTTGAAGAACGATCTGGCCTAATGGCCATGTAGTCTTATAATCTGGCACAGCCGGAAGAGGACTGGCCACCCCTCAGTGCCTGGTTGCTCTCTTGGTTTCTTCCTAGGTTCCTGCCTTTCTAGAGAGTTTTTCCTTGCTACCATGCTTCTATATCTGCATTGCTTGCTCTTTCGGGTTTTAGGCTGGGTTTATGTATAAGCACTTTGTGACAACTGCTGATGTAAAAAGTGCTTTACAAATAGATTTTATTTATCGATTACTCTGAACAGTCGTCTGCGGGAGCTCTATCCGGAGAGCGAGGAGCTGTTCGACATCATTCTGATGACTAATAACCATGCCCAGGTTGGAGTACGCCTCATCAACAGCATCAATCACATTGGTAAGGACAAGGGCTTCAGTCCTGTGGTGAGTTTCCTGAATGCCTCGTGGCCTGACATGGAACGTTATAATCAACTCACCAACCATATGAAAGCAATAGATTGAGCACACACAAATGACATGTTTTGGGAGTATTGATAACATGCATGACTTGGAGATCTACTGTCATTATCTTCAGATTTTACAATTGAGAGGTTCTGCATGAGTGGTGGGGAAATTGGCAATTTAAAGGCTTACATGACTAACCTTTACCTTTCAAAGGATTCGGAGAAGGTACAGAAAGCCATTGAGGAAGGGAAGACTGAATAATGCCAATATAAAAAAATAACACTTGATTGACAGGGATTGCAGAAGCCACAATGTTTGCCTGTGACAGGGAAAACAAACTGAGTCGCTTTTGACAGGGACGCCGTCCTATTTTCAGATGAGTCTGAGATCATCGTGAACAAAAATGGACTTGACACTTTTTTTTTTTCATGAGAAGGAGTTTGAGAGCAAGCCTCTTGCCCAGGGTATTTTATCCAATAGACAGTGGTTCTGAATGGGGGTTCTGAATGGGTTCTCCCCCATTTGTAAAGAATGTAGGCCGTGCAATGTACTATATATTTTCATATATGAACAAGGAAGTGACAGTTTAAATTAGCAATCAAAAGGTAATACAGCAGTACTCTTTCTGTCCAGAAGACAACAAACCTAAAGCATGGGCCACACATTATGACATGGTAAACCCAGTCTTAGTATCTACAGGGTCCACTGAAATGCTTCCTGGAGGCTTTGCGGAAACTTCAACGCAAGTTCTACATGCCAAGGACGTATCAACTGCCCCATCCGTACTTATCTGGTGACAGCTTGCAGTGCTGCTAGCTCTGTGTGACCAGTGTTGATTGCCTCTGCATTGACCGGCTTACATATGTTGGTGTTGATCTTTTATTCTCTGACAGAAAAAAAACTTCCATAAACAAAAGCTGTGCTTCCCTAATACGCCAAACTCTTCTCTTCCACATGGGTACACTAGACAGGGCACAATATAACAATAATCGAATGAATGACTTAATACAATAGTATGAAAAATGTATGCACTCACTAAACTGTAAATCGCTCTGGATAAGAGCGTCTGCTAAATGACTAAAATGTAAATGTAAATATAATGTAAATCCAATGTACAGTATGAAATAGAAATGTATAGTATAGCCTATTGTCCTGGGACATCTTTATCAATGACAGCCAGGCGTTACGTTCAGTGATGTACACTTGCGAACAGTAAAATATTGTCAAAACACATGACGTACCTGATAATCCCAGGAAAAACGTGCATAAACAAATGCTGTGCTGCCTTTCTTGGCCAACTGCAGAGTACAAATTAACAACGAGGGGGGACATGAATAATTAGCCCAATAGATGCTGTACAGAGGTCAATCAAACTCAACCAAATCAAATAACATTTTATTGGTCGCGAACATATATTATAAAGATGTCATCGCAGAGAAATGCTTATGTTTCTAACAACAGAAAACACAAATACAAAAATATATTAAGAAATATCAGAACGAGCAATGTCAGAGTCTGGAATTATATATATATATATATATAAAATCCAAGACTCTCTCTCTATATGTGTATATATACTACCAGTCAAGAGTTTGGACACACCTACTCATTCAAATTGTAGAATAATAGTGAAGACATCACAACTATGAAATAACACATATAGAATCATGTAGTAACCAAAAAGGTGTTAAAAAAAAATCTAAATATATTTTATAGTTGAGATTCTTCAAAGTAGCCACCCTTTACCTTGTCACAACACAATTGATTGGCTCAAACGCATTAAGAAGGAAATAAATTCCACAAATTAACTTTTAAGAAGGCACACCTGTTAATTGAAATGCATTCCAGGTGACAACCTCATGAAGCTGGTATACAGAAGATTGCCCTATTTGGTAAAAGACCAAGTCCATATTATGGCAAGAACAGCTCAAATAAGCAAAGAGAAATGACAGTCCATCATTACTTTAAGACAAGAAGGTCAGTCAATACGGAAAATGTAAAGAACTTCGAAAGTTTCTTCAAGTGCAGTCGCAAAAACCATCAAGCGCTATGATGAAAACTGGCTCTCATGAGGACCCCCACAGGAATGGAAGACCCAGTTACCTCTGCTGCAGAGGATAAGTTAATTAGAGTTACCAGCCTCAGAAATTGCAGCCCAAATACTTTACAGAGTTCAAGTAACAGACACATCACAACATCAACTGTTCAGAGGAGACTGTGTGAATCAGGGCTTCATGGTCGAATTGCTGCAAAGAAACCACTACTAAAGGACACCAATAAGAAGAAGAGACTTGCTTGGGCCAAGAAACACAAGCAATGGACCGGTGGAAATGTGTCCTTTTGTCTGGAGTCCAAATTGGAAATGTTTGGTTCCAACCGCCGTGTCTTTGTGTGGGTGAACGGATGATCTCCGGATGTGTATTTCCCACCGTAAAGCATCGAGGAGGAGATGTTATGGTGTGGGGGTGCTTTGCTGCTGACACAGTCTGCGATTTATTTAGAATTCAAGGCACACTTAACCAGCATGGCTACCACAGCATTCTGAAGCGATACGCCATCCCATCTGGTTTGGGCTTAGTGGGACTATCATTTGTTTTTCAACAGGACAATGACCCAACACACCTCCAGGCTGTGTAAGGGCTATATTACCAAGAAGGAGAGTGATGGAGTGCTGCATCAGATGACCTGGCCTCCATAATACCCCGACCTTAACCAAATTGAGATGGTTTGGGATGAGTCGGACCGCAGAGTGAAGGAAAAGCAGCAAGTGCTCAGCATATGTGGGAACTCCTTCAAGACTGTTGGAAAAGCATTCCAGGTGAAGCTGGTTGAGAGAATGCCAAGAGTGTGCAAAGCTGTCATCAAGGCAAAGGGTGGCTATTTGAAGAATCTCAAATAGAAAATATAGTTTGATTTGTTTAACACTTTTTTGGTTACTACATGATTCCATGTGTTATTTCATAGTTTTGATGTCTTCACTATTATTCTACAATGTAGAAAATAGTAAAAATAAAGAAAAACCCTTGAATGAGTAGGTGTTCTAAAACCTTTGACCAGTAGTGTATATATTTACACGTATATATATATATATATATATATATATATATATATATATATATATATACACTGCTCAAAAAAATAAAGGGAACACTAAAATAACACATCCTAGATCTGAATGAATAAAATAATCTTATTAAATACTTTTTTCTTTACATAGTTGAATGTACTGACAACAAAATCACACAAAAATGATCAATGGAAATCAAATTCATCAACCCATGGAGGTCTGGATTTGGAGTCACCCTCAAAATTAAAGTGGAAAACCACACTACAGGCTGATCCAACTTTCATGTAATGTCCTTAAAACAAGTCAAAATGAGGCTCAGTAGTGTGTGTGGCCTCCACGTGCCTGTATGACCTCCCTACAACGCCTGGGCATGCTCCTGATGAGGTGGCGGATGGTCTCCTGAGGGATCTCCTCCCAGACCTGGACTAAAGCATCCGCCAACTCCTGGACAGACTGTGGTGCAACGTGGCGTTGGTGGATGGAGCGAGACATGATGTCCCAGATGTGCTCAATTGGATTCAGGTCTGGGGAACGGGCGGGCCAGTCCATAGCATCAATGCCTTCCTCTTGCAGGAACTGCTGACACACTCCAGCCACATGAGGTCTAGCATTGTCTTGCATTAGGAGGAACCCAGGGCCAACCGCACCAGCATATGGTCTCACAAGGGGTCTGAGGATCTCATCTCGGTACCTAATGGCAGTCAGGCTACCTCTGGCGAGCACATGGAGGGCTGTGCGGCCCCCCAAAGAAATGCCACCCCACACCATGACTGACCCCCCGCCAAACCGGTCATGCTGGAGGATATTGCAGGCAGCAGAACATTCTCCACGGCGTCTCCAGACTCTGTCACATGTGCTCAGTGTGAACCTGCTTTCATCTGTGAAGAGCACAGGGTGCCAGTGGCAAATTTGCCAATCTTGGTGTTCTCTGGCAAATGCCAAACGTCCTGCACGGTGTTGGGCTGTAAGCACAACCCCCACCTGTGGATGTCGGGCCCTCATACCACCCTCATGGAGTCTGTTTCTGACCGTTTGAGCAGACACATGCACATTTGTGGCCTGCTGGAGGTCATTTTACAGGGCTCTGGCAGTGCTCCTACTGCTCCTCCTTGCACAAAGGCGGAGGTAGCAGTCCTGCTGCTGGGTTGTTGCCCTCCTACGGCCTCCTCCACGTCTCCTGATGTACTGGCCTGTCTCCTGGTAGCGCCTCCATGCTCTGGACACTACGCTGACAGACACAGCAAACCTTCTTGCCACAGCTCGCATTGATGTGCCATCCTGGATGAGCTGCACTACCTGAGCCACTTGTGTGGGTTGTAAACTCCGTCTCATGCTACCACTAGAGTGAAAGCACCGCCAGCATTCAAAAGTGACTAAAACATCAGCCAGGAAGCATAGGAACTGAGAAGTGGTCTGTGGTCACCACCTGCAAAACCAGTCCTTTATTGGGGGTGTCTTGCTAATTGCCTATAATTTTCACCTGTTGTCTATTCCATTTGCACAACAGAAATGTATTGTCAATCAGTGTTGCTTCCTAAGCGGACAGTTTGATTTCACAGAAGTGTGATTGACTTGGAGTTTAAGTGTTCCCTTTATTTTTTTGAGCAAAGTATTCAGACCCCTTGACTTTTTCCACATGTTGTTAGGTTACAGCCTTATTCGAAAATGAACCTGCAACCACAACACTTCAATAACACTTGACATAATATCTTCTCTAAGCATTACAGGGATATGGCTCTGAATATATACAGCAACACCTCCCCCATAAGCATTTCTGTATCTTCTATAGAGGTTATATTATTGTATTGCTACTGCTGTATCATCAAATGAATTATCTAAGTGAGTCTCAGAAATGGCTAATATATGAATGTTATCTGATATTAGGAAGTTATTGATTTCATTAACCTTATTTCTAAGGCTACATATATAAATATGGGCTATTTTCAGCCCTTTCCTGTGTAGCTTATCAGAGATAGACATAATACTGAAAAGAGCAAACAAAGCAAGAGAAAAAAATATACATTCAGCAGTCCATTAATCAATTGGTGTGTGTGTGCTGCGGGGTTGAAGCTACGAACCCATAGGCTTGGCTCTCTCATCCCTTCCAGGCTTCTGGGAAGGAGGGTGGACAATGAGCCTGTCATAGCGGATGTAAGTACTGTCCCCACATGCTCTGGCAGCTTTCATGGCTGGG